TGCTGCTGCTCATGTATGGGAGAAGCTACCTGTAAACATCTGCAAAACTAACTCATGATCCTCCTTCAAAACACTCCTTTTTCTGTGATACCTACAAATAATTTGACAACAGTTCGACTGCTGGTGATCATGCTGACCAATATTGTTTCACTGTTTCCTTGTACTACCCCATCTGTCTGTATCCCACTGTAAGGTCTTTGGAGCAGGGGGTATTTTTCTGCTCTGTATTTGTACAGCACCTAGCCTAACAGGGTCCTGTCTCCGACTGGGTGCCATGATAATACATATAATAATACTAATAATGTGCACCACAGGCAGAAAACAGGAGACCAAGATGCCATCGATGCCCAAGGTTCCTGCAATGGCAGGGAAATGATTAGGTGAGATATGACCCGATGATCCAGCAGGCAATCCATGCTCCATGCTGCAGAGGAAGACAAACCCGCACCTTACCAATGTCTCTGCCAATCTGGGCTGGGGGGAGAATTACTTCCTGCCCTCAAATCTGGTGATCAGTTTGAACCTGAGCAGATGAGCAAAACACACCCGCCAGGCATCAAGACGGAGGATTCGCTGTACCACTTCAGAGCACGGGTCCACCCTGTACCCAGTTGTGGCCAATTGCTGATGCTTCAGAAGAAGATGGGGAAAACCCCTCAGAATACATCTAGACAATTGTGCATTAGAGAAAAGAAACATTCCTTCCTGACCCCAGCAGGCAAATGGCTGAAGCCCTTGAAGCATGAGATTGTCATTGTCTTACTGCAGAGTTGCAAATATTATGAGCATGTTGAGGGAAATGGAGAACTTCCCATTGTCCCCATGGCCCATAAAAGAAGGGAATGGACACTATGGTTCATAAAGTCACAGATTCCAAGGCCAGAATGAACTACCACAACCATCCAGCCTGCCCCCCTGCATACATAGACTGTAGAATTTCTCCCAGAAACTGGATTAAAGTATATCTTTTAAAAAAAGATATCCTATGTCTTCTTAATGATGAGCCCCCCACCTCCCCTGGTAAGCTGTTCTAATATTTAATTTCCCTCATTGCTAGGAAACTGTGTCTTATTTCAAGGCTGAATTTGTCTAACTTCAGTTTCCAACCACTGGATCTTTTTATGCCTTTGTCAGCAAGGTTGAAAAGCCCTCTGTAATCAGCAGGAATCCTAGAAATCCGTTTGCCATGGAAAAATGCAGATTTTGCATTTTTACATAGAATCTTTAGTTTTTACATTTTGTGAAAAAATAAAAATAAGAACCCTGTTTATCTGCACCTCCATTATCCAGCTCTCCCTACAAACCAGGGCTGACAGCCTGAGCCTTGCCACCCGGGGATGAAACTCTCCAGATTATTTGAATTTTTGATTATCCAGTCTGACCCCAATCCCAATTACATCGGACAAATGGGGCTCCGCTCTATACCAGTTGAATACAATGTTTTATTGATACCTGTATGTATTGTGGCTAGGGAAACTAAAATTCAGTGTCTCATTTTAATCATGGAAAACTGCAAATTTTTATTTTTTTTAAATCAGAGAATTTTGGTATTTTTTCAATCACAGAAAACTAGGATCCCTGGTGATCAGCTCTCATTCCGCATGTAAGCATTTATACACAGTGATCAAGTCACCTCTCAACCTTCTCTTCAATAAGATGAATAAGTTGAGCTCCTTAAGCCTCACATTGTAGGCTTGTTTTCCAGCCCCTGGATCATTTGTGTGACCCTCCATGAGTTTTTTTACACTAATCTGCAGTACTGTGAGAATGCCAAGATTTGACCCTTACGGGCAGAACTGCTGCTATGACAAGTCATTATTAATCAAATAGATCAACCATTTATTCTGGATTTATTTGTTTTTTGTTTGATTAGGGTGTTTTGCTTGTTTGTTATAACTGGGCCGTAGTTGTGTCAGTTCTGGAGTTTATATTATATGTAGTACTGTGACCAGGGCAAGCCACTGGAGGGGTGTCTGCAGTGCAACTGGGAGATGTGACTGCAGCATGTGTAGATATACCTTAGCTAGCTTTGACCTAAGCTAGGTCAAAGCTAGCACAAGGAACTAGCGCAGTTAAACCATGGCAGCATAGTCAGCAGCCACGCAAGTAGAAATGTAGGCTCCTGGACTGGCAGAGCTAGCCCATGAAGCTGCCCAGATTGCTGTGGCTTCATTGCCATTGTTACTTGAGCTAGCTCGGGCACATCTATAGGTGCTACAATGACAATGCCTGATTGCAGCGTAGCTATAAGAGGCAAGACTCCTAGAGGCTATTCTTTGCTCTGCCACTGATTCACCGTGTGACCTTGAGCAAGTCACTCACTTTCTGTCTGCCTGAGTTTTCACCCATGTGTAGAATAGATACAATAATACTGACCTCCCTTTTGGTCATGCTGTGACAACCTCAATAAAGGAGAAAGTAAATATTTTTTCCAGTGCCTGTATGCCACTTTTCCTGGGTAGGGGGAGATAAGCTAATAAAATGCACAGAGTACAAAGTATCAGGAGGATCTCAAAGCATTTTGTGTCTGTACAGCATGTAACACAACAGGGTCCTGACACATGACTAGAGCTCCTAGGCCCTACAATAACAACAAAAAATAATAAGTGAGCCTTGCTCTCCCTGTTATCCTTTGTTGAGAGGCAGTGTTAACTAATGGTTAAACCAAGGCATGGGAGTCAATTCTTGGGTTGTAGGCCCAGATCTACTACTGACAGTGCCTCAGTTTCCCCTTTTACAAAATGGTAATAGTGTCTCTCAAATGGAAGGGTCCTCTGCATAAGCAGTGCAGAATAGGCCATCAACATGTACAACACAACTCAGGGAGGAGATTCCCTACCATACCCCATCCACTTTGAAGTGTAATACATTTTTCCCAGCAGCAATGAATTGTGTCATTGTTGGGAACATGTTCACTACTGTCATCTATGTGTGGACTATGTTGGACCAGCTCATTATGACCGCACTTCAGGGAAGTACTTAAGCTGAGGTTTAAATCCCATGATGTAAATAGGACATAAGTATGTCCTTAACATTTGGTACATAGTGAATGGCTTGCCTGACTTGTAGCCTGCAGTGGCTGCTGCCAGTAGAGGTCTCATTGTAACAAATGCTGTTTTTCTGCTCACTCAATTTTTTGAAAAATTTTCCTTTGGGATTTATTATCTATCATAGAATCATCTATTGCTATCAAGTCCCCGATCAATGCAGTATAAGTATTAATGTATTTGCATACATGAAAATGAAAGGATGTTGCACTCTTGAGTGCTTTATTTCTTTTACAGACACTGGATAAATACAATTCAGGTAATCAAATTCACCATCCTGCCTATAAATATTTTCAGCTCCTGGAGGGACCATCTTTTCCAGCAGGCAAGAGGGAAATAAGAGGATCCTCCTGTTATTAAGCAATGCAACAAACTGAAAGGAATACTGAAGCTGGGAAAGCTTCCTTGCCTCTGGTGGGAAGGAGAGCAGGTCCAGCTTCTGAACCTTGGCTCCTATCAGGTCCAGCGCAAGAGGATGCCAAAACCAGACAAGGAAGCCCTGGTGTGACACACGAGCTTGGACAGGGGCTTGGGAACCTCTTAATATCCCAGCCGTCACAAATGTCTAAGGGTAGCTTAAAAAATCCCGGTACCAAGGACTAGGGATGGGCAGAAGCCAGATTTTCAGTTTAGTGGGAACCTCAAGAATTTCAACGTTCCCCCCCCCCCCCCGATTCCGAAAAAGGAAAAAAAACTAAAAAGGAAAGAAGTTTTCTGCAAACACAAAATTCTGAAAATTTCTTCATTTCAATAAAATCAAAACATTTGATTCCCAATCCAACCTTTTGAAAAACTAGTTTCATGTCAAAACAATGAATGGCATTGGGCAGAGAAAAATTGAGCCATGCTGTTCAGAAAAAGCAGGGCACATGGACACTATTCAAACACCATTTCATTTGTTTCCCAAAACAAAAATTTCCCCAAATCAACAGAAAATGCTGTGTGTCAAAGGTGACCCGTTGCTTTGCCGAAGGGACCAGGTTAATGTACATTGTTCAGCCAGCTCTACCAGGAAGCCCCCAGTACACCGCAGGAGGATCCCTGCCCCTCATCTCAATCAGCTCTGGCTGAATGTGAAACACACAAAGAAACTTTGCCTACCCTCCACCTGCCACAGTGCATGCCAGCCCCGGCTCTTCACAGCCACAGGGGACAAAGGAAGGAGGGGAAGACCGGCACAGCGTGGAAGGCGCAGAGAAAGAGCAGAGCCAGGGGGGCTGGGACAATTTGAATACTGTGGGTGCTGAGAGCCATTGAATCAAATGTAAACCCTGTGTGTGTGTGTGTATATATATATATATATATATGATAGAAACCACTTCAAGCCAAGAGGTGCAGCACCCTCCCCAGCACCCCGGACGCTGCAGGTGCCAGGGGTCTTTCCTGCCTGTGCCCTGCCGTCTGATCAGCCAGGGCGGGCAAGCGCCGGAGCCTGCCGGGGCAGGCGAGGCGAGGCGCCTTCCCTTCGCTGGGAGCCGGGTCTCAGCGCCTGCCAGGTGCCCCACGCGGATGCCGATTCCCGGGAGAGGGCGACAGATCCTGACCCGGGATCGTCCGTGTGGCTCCAGCGCCCCGCTCGTGGCCGGCCCCGGCCCCGGCTCCGGCTCCCTCTCGCAACCCCCCGCAACTCCGCTCCACTGCGCTGGCTCCCAGCCCCCGGCGCTGCCCTCCCGCTGGGTTTGCCTTCCGCTGCCCCGGGCAACCCCCGCCCCCGCCCCCGCCGCCCCGGAGCCCGCTTTGTTCCGGGTGCGAGGTGCCCCCTCACCCCCCTTCCAACTCCTCTCCCGCGGCAGGAAGCGGAGCCGGAGCCCGCGCAGCGAGAAACCGAAAGCAACAGAGGCCGGGCTCCAGAGCCCTCCCTCCGGCTCCCACGCCGGCCCGGCATCCCCCCGCCCAGCCCAGCATCCGCCAGCTCCGTTGCGGGAGGCCTGGACTGGCTCCCACTGCCCCTACCCTGGCGGAGATGGGGAGAGAGCGCTCCAGGGCAGCTGCTGCGGCCACGCTCTGCCTCGCTCCTGCCTCTCCCGCCTCCTCCGCTCAGCCGCGCATTGTCTTCCTCGCCTCCATGGATGGCTCGAGGCGGCGGCTGCTGGAGATTAAATGTTCCAGTGACACTAACCCGTAGCATGGATGCGGTTGCAAACTGCACATGCTCCCTCCTTACAGCCGGCCTTCTCCCGCACCAGCCCTTAACTCCTTCGCTGCTGTCCTGAGCCAGCTGCGGTACAGGGAGGTGATGGTGGAGGGGACTTTAGCAGGGAAAATCATCTGGCTGCAGGCCTCAGCTCACCTGCTCCCACCCCCTGGCCTTCTGCCTGCACCTACAGCAGCTCCTATAGAGCAGGATCGGCTTTCCAGCGCACTCTCTCTGGCTTGCTAAGGGTTAATTCAGGTCACCGTTCCCCTCTGCGCAGTTCTTCCAATTTTTAATAATTTACCTGGTAAATTTACACGCAAGGACTTTGCATCATCTGTAGCTGCTAAACACAGAAGCAACTCAGGTACCAGCTCCTGAGAATTTAAGATTTGCTAGGCGCCATCAGACTGCTGGTCCACCAAGGCAGGTAACTGACTTTCTGGTGATGCTTCAGAATCCTGGTGTTACATGCTGTAGTTGCCATGAGGGGTTGCAGGGAAAATAGACACCTCCCTCCCATCAGTATTCCAGCTATGACATACCTCCTTGCTTGCCAAGGCCAAAATATGGGACAAAGGCCCAAAACAAAGAAAAAAAAAAAAAAAAAAGAAGAAAGCACAGGGGGCCTCTTTTTTCTTCCCCCCCCCCCCCCCCCCTCTTTTTTTTTTTTTTTTTCTTTTTTTTTTTTTTTTTGAAATAATAGCTTCTCTTCTTCTTCTTTTATGTTATTTTTTTATATGTGTGTCCCCCCCCCCCCCTTCCCCCCCCTTAAGAGCGCCTTTAAAAACCCCCCCCCCTGTTTCCCCCCCCCCCCCCCCCCCAAAATCCTTTAATTCACTCTTTACCAGGCAGGGGCAAGGAGTTGTATGGGCCTGTGGTGCCCGGACTCCAGGAATATTCAGGGCTCAGGGTCCGGCTCCACCAATGTTTGGAGCTGGGTCTCTTCCCTGGCCCCTGACTCAGCCCCCCCCCCACCGCCCCACCCCCACCCCGGAGCATCCTCCCCCCAGCCCTGGAGCATCCCTGCCTGAATGAAAGCGGCGCGGCTCTCCCTCGCCTGCCTGCACTGCCGGCACCAGCAGCAACTGCTGCCTAAGGCTACAGCACAGCACAAGAGCAGCGCTGGCAGCAGGCTGAGGCAGCTGGCTGCACCTCAGGAGGAGAGGGAGGAGGCACACGCATGCTTGGCAGCCCTCACCTCCCCCTGCACCCACCAGGAGGAGACGCCAAGGGGGCTTCCGGCTGGTGCCAACTGGAGTGGACCTCGCTCACCTGAGCAGCTGCTGGGGCTTTGGTGAGTGTTTGACCCTGTGATCCGCATCCCCTGCAGCCACCAATCCTGCCCAACGCTGGGCATGGGGCAGCCCCATCCCCAACCCCCAGTGAGGCTATGGTGAGGGGCAGCCCCTCCCCGTATGTGCCGCACCCCACTCCACCCCCTCCCGGAGCCTACACCCCAGCCCTTTCCCACACACCCCCTCCAACCCCCAAACTCCATCCCAAAGCCTGCACCCCTTTCCCCCTCCTGCACACCCACCCCTGCCCCAGCCTGGAGCCTGCACCCAAACTCCGTCCCAGAGCCCAACCTCTTAACCATCCTACACCCCAATCCCCTGCCCCAGCCCAGGGCCTGTAACTCAGACCTCCTCCCCTCATCCAAACTCCCTTGCAGAGCCTTAGGCGGGTAGGGAGTGAAGTTTGGGGGGGGGGGGGCCTCTGGGCATTCTGGGCACCACCAAAATTTCTACAAACCTGCCACCCCTGGCCACCAAAAAAAAAAAAAAACCAAAACACCAAACACCCCACCAACCCCCCCCCAACCCCCCCCCCCCCCCCCCCCCCTTCCCCCCCCCCTTTCCCCCTTCCCCCCCCCTCTTATAAAATAAAAAAAAAAGAGGGGAAAAGGAGCACCAAAAGAACCCCACCCCCCCCCCCCCCCAAAACACAACCCCCCCCCCCTTTCTCCCCCCCCCCCCCCCACACCCCCCCCCAAAGAAAACACCCACCCCCCGGGGTAGAAGGCCAGCCCCCAAACCCCCCCCCTCCCCCCCCCCCCAAACCAAACCCCCCCCCCCCGGCCCCCCCCTTTTTAGGAGGCTCCACTTCCCCCCCACCCAACTACCCTATCCTCCTCACCTTCCTACTGCCATTTATACTTTAATTTTCTGATTCCTCTCAGGTTGGCTCATCTTGTAATCACAGCTGGTTTAGCCCCAGGCTCTCCAGCCCAGGGGCAAACCAACCTGTTACAATCTCAAGGTCCTTTGCAAACACTCATTCACACCTCTGTAAAGTGGTAAATATTTTCCGCTCAGTTTTCTAACTAAAAACCTGCTCTCAGACGTGGTAACCAATGCTTGTCAAAGGCCTGGGTCAGCTGTTGTGAATGGACACTAGGCATTGCACAGTCATTTCAATACTTTTCCTTAATGTAGATACAAGACAGATTCCACATATGATTTCTGATTAATAATAATTTATGTATAAAACACCTAAGAAACATAAGAAAAAAAAGGTCAAAGAATATAATCCCAAGCAGTGTTCCCTCTAATTGTTTACGTCCATGTGCGGAATGAATTTTGTTACGTGCACCAATATGGAGGTCATATGTGACACATCACCTTCCATATTGGTGCACATAACAAAATTCATGTGGTGGGGGTGGGGCTGAGTTTAGAGTGTGGGAGGGGGCTTAGGGCTGGGGCAGAGGGTTGGCATGTGGGAGGGGGCACGGGCTCTGGGGTGGGGCTGGAGATAAGGGGTTTGAGGTGCAGGCTTCCCCGGGGCTTCGGTGGGGAGAGAGGACTCCCCCCAGCCTTCTCTCACCTCGGCAGCTCAGGGCCAGGGGAGAGGCACCTCCTGGCAGCTCCTCTCCCCCAGCCATGGCAAGTCCGGGACAGGTCCATGCTGGGGCCGGCAAGGAGGGGAGCCTCTCCCTGCTGCAGTCCTGAGCCACTGTATGGGGCTTAATAGGCAGCCACGCAGCTTGGAGGGAACTTAGATCCCAATGTCATTTGTTGTCACTGACACCCCTGTAGTGTATGAGATCAGACACACATAGCAAGAAATATATATTTGAAGGCTTCACTGCTACATGCTGAAACAATCTCTTTACCATTTTTCCATTTCCACCAGAAAGTTCTCTTCAGATTATTCCCTGACTAAGCTTGCCGATGGAGAATAATGAAAATAAATTAAAGTTACAGAATCAGATTCCCTTCTTTCTCTGTGTTAACTCTTCTGCAAAATTGCCTGCTCTTTGCATGGTGGAAGAATGTTCTTGTGATTAAACCACTGTATTAGAAGTCAGGAGATTTGGCTCCTGACAGAATTCCTGTGTGACCTTTGGCAAGCATGTAACTTCCCTGTACCTCAGTTTCCTCATCTGTAAAATGGAAATAATACCTATCTATCTGAAAGAAAGTCTCCAAGGAGGAGGATTAGCTAGTTAACATTGGTAACGTTGTGATGTTATTAACATGAACTTTGACTGCATAGATCATTGTGGCAACCAAGGTCCCATAGTTGCACCAAATCTTGTACAAAGGAGGTCAAGTAAGGTGTCTATGGAAAGGTTGTAATTTGCTGGTTATGATTACGCTGTCTGTATGTGTGTATCATTTTTGTATTTGAAGTTATGAATATTGGCTTTGTACTTGTATCTTGATGTGTTTGATTCTAAGTAGCATCAATAAAGCATTTGGTCAGCTTCTTGAAAAAGGACTATTGTGAGTAAGTGCCCAATCGAGAAACACTTAACTGACAATGGACTTTAAGAGATGCCAATCCACATCTGAGCTTTCCTGGGAACATTCAAACTAACATGTGAACAATGGCGTTGGCCTGCAAAAAGCTGAATCATTCATGAACATGTGACTTGCCCAAGTGGCTACAAACTCCATCTTGTTGCTGTGATTTTGCACAGAAGAACAAAGGGGTTTCTGCCCATAAGAGGGAGAATATAAAAGGCCCTGGAAGCCTCTCCATTTTGTCTTCAGCTGGCTCAAGAGATGGCCTCTTCACCCCAAAGAGATGCCTGAAAGAAACTGGGACAAAGGACTCTAACTACGGGGGTGTGAGTGATTGCTGGACCCATGCCATAAACCACAACGTTGGTCTGAAAAGGACTGGGCCCAGACTAGGAAGGAGTCTAATCTGTGAAAGAAGCTTATTGGAACATCTCTGAGGGTGCGATTTACCTGTATTCAGTTTCCTACTGTATTAGGCTTAGACTTGCACGTTTTGTTTTATTTTGCTTGGTAACTTGCTTTGTTCTGTCTGTTATTGCTTGGAACTACTTAAATCCTACTTTTTATATTTAATAACATCACTTTTGCTTATTAATGAACCCAGAGTAAGTAATACTTATGGGAGCAAACAGCTGTGCATATCTCTCTATCAGTGTTATAGAAAGTGGACAATTTATGAGTTTACCCTGTATAAGCTTTATACAGAGTAAAACGGATTCATTTGGGGTTTAGGTTCCCAGAAAGACTGAATACTGGGTGCTGGAAAAGTCCCTGTTACCTGAGATGCCTCTGGGCTAAGTGAATCTTAGTTTCTGTGCACTGCAGGGGGTGTGTGGCCCAACCTCTTGGTCTGTGCTGTAGCTGACTAGAGTGTCTAACTCAGCAAGATGGGAGTGGAGGGAAGCCTTCTCTGGCAGGGGGGCTTGCTCTCAGTGGTATCCCAGCACATCTAGAGACAGTCTTGAGGGAGTTTCTGTGACCAAATCCATCACAAATGTTTTTTAAGGTCCTCTGATAGAAGGCGGGGAAGTACAAGGTTTGGTTATTTTACAGAGAGAGAAAGTGAGGTACAGATGGATAAAATGACACTTCCTGTGTCACCACCTGAGGTTGTCTGTACTAGAACTGGAAATAGAATCTAAAACACTTGCTTCTGAGTCTCATGTTTTAATCATGATCTCTCTTCTCCAATCAGCCA